GAAATCGTTCGATGGTGGGAGTGGAAAAATAAACAAATTTATAATGCGTTATATAGCGTGTAAACTATAATGTACGCACTCGCGGAATGAATAAAAAGTAAAAAGAAGTTCGATAAATGCCGCGTGATGAGAGAACACCCAGGAATAAATAATAACTCAAGAACCCTTCGCACTCTTTCTTCACCACTCCACTGTTTGGCAGTTAGGTAACAAATAAGCTATCAAAACGGTTTTGTGAAGTTTTAATCAAAGCCAGCGTTCTCGTTTATACTCAATGATACAGAGTCTGTGTGCATTAATTGATTGATATTTTTAGACGTTTGCTTTCTTGACACTTCATAGGTTTCAAGTGATCACGCACCAACACTCGTCAACTTAAATTAGAAAACTATTATAATATATACACAACTGGATCGTTAAAATCATAATTAAATAATTGTTGAACACGGTCCTGCATCCTATTAACGTAAATTCACGGCTTTACCCGTCAACCTAGTCATTTATATGCTAAACTAGTAGGGTTTAATCCTATATTATATATTATCATATATTTAATATTTATATAGGTACTTTTAAATTCTTAAAACCTTTTTACATTAGTAAAAAACCCACATTAAATTTGAATTTGAATTATCATTATTCTCAAATTTTATTTGACGGAGGGAGGGGGAGCACGTGGCTATGTTCAAAAACAATGCAGTAAAACCTAATAATGAAACACGTGTGAAATTCATCTTTTTTAATCAAATTTATTATCATCTGGCAAAATATATATGCACTTTGCACTTATTATTATTATTATTATGTTGACACGTTATATTCGATAACATAAATTGACCCTGAACTACGAGTGGTTGTGTTAGAAAATCGGTTTTTTTATTTAGCTGTTTAATGTGTTGAAAATTACGATAATCAATATTAGTAGTCTCAACATGTCAATTAATTCTGTCAAACACATAATACTTAAAAAACTAACTAAATTTACAAGTAGTTTAGTTAATTCCTTAGCACAGTATTCGATAAGTTATAATTTACAACCAATTTACTGAGATAATTATATGTGGCTTAAATAACAAAATGTAACATTAAAAACAAAAACCATACGGCTTGGAAAAAATTAATCGTCAGACGTCACCTGTGTTCAATACATATTTTGATCTTGTTGAATATATAATGAAAGTTACGATTTAAACATTTTATAAAATAACATAATATACGCCTATGTGTGGCTATAATTAAAATTAAATACTTTTAAAACACTAAGTTAAAACTGATTATTTATTTTCAAATAATCAATATTCATTTTAATGGCGCATTATGAAAAGTTAAATCTGGGATAAAAAGTTTTTTACGAGGTCAAAACTTACATCAGACTACCCATATAATTGTATATACCTGTGTACCTATTTGAAGAATATGAACATGATTTTATATCTTTACATTATTCAGCGAATCTAAAGGAGTAAAAAGTAATATACAACCCAGAATTATTTTCATGGCGATGGCATAATATAATAACCAGGCAACATGCAGTTTTTATTTTAATTCCGTTTTCAGCCGTACGCAGTAAGAAATAAAAATATTCAAATGTAAAAAAGAAAAAATTATTATTGCACATTCCAATAATGCCGAGTCGCAACCATTTACCATATTATATTACACTTGTACATGGCATATTAACAGAGTAAAGTATAATGATACTTGAAGGAAATAAATATAAAAAATAAATTAAAAAGTCTGCGAGAATAAAATCGAGTGCACGACGTTTATGAGAACAAAAAAGGGGATGACATAATAATTTTAAAAGTTTTTTTCTTCGTTGAATTTTTATTAATCAAACAAATGTGTGGCAACACCGTGCGCGTTAATAAAAATTACGAGGCGATCATTCTTTTTTGGACTAATAGTAGTATTGCACGTTATATTATTAGTGTTCTCGTCCAGAACTTAGGCGACAAAAATGTAAAAGCCACGCAAGACGATGCGGTCGTGCAAACGGTGACAAACATAATAATAATATTATCCTTTCGTTTAACAATAATATTATACCGTGTTGTACCTATATTATACGTTAAACGGACGAGAGACGACCACACGCGAAAATATTATAATGCGTGATGTAATAATATTATAATATACTCACACACACACAATACACGAAAACCAGTCAAGTCGTTAATAATTCCCGCCGCCCGAAAACCGGTCGCATGCCGCGCATTGTCGCACAACACTACAACGTCGTATAAAAAGAGTGTTTTAGAGAAAAACCAATGCATTCGCCCAGACCAGAATATTAGAGGACCACGCAAATTCCCCAATCACCCCTTCCAACCATACACACTAGCACACGTGATATTATCATTATTATTACTATGACCCCCGTCGTCCAAAAGGTTGGTCGAATAAAAAATTATAGGAATGCAAGCACACACACATCGAAAAACGTCTCCGTTGCTCAGCAAGGTGCAGTAAGTCCGTTTTAATATTATTCAAATCGTTATTATTATTTGTTTTCGTATCTTAAATGACGGCGTAGCTGCCGCGACCACGGCGACCTTGCCGGACAACGGCGACAACTGACAATACTTTGAACGTAAAAAAATAATAGTTAACGCAGCAGTTAGGTATCGTATATAATATTATTATTATTATTTATTATGTTATGTAGTACATACGTGAGGAGAGCGCATTGCAACATTGCTGCACTGGCCTACTAATATTATTGCAGCTCTCATCACGTGTTTTCACGTGCGATGACTCAAAACGCCGACGGCAACCTTTGAGTAAGGACTAAATGTAATTTAAATTGAGCGTGTTTCGGATGAGCAATAATAAAAAAAAGAACAGCCGTTCCTTTGTCCGACTCGTGCGTATATAAAATGACAACGACGACGTTGCGCGGGCGGAAAAGCGAACTGAGTGCTTTTGATTGAAGGCGACCGACCGCGCGTCAAACGTCGTTGTCGTTGTCGTCCACCGGGTACAACCCGTAATGACATTAAGGACCTTTAAAACGCGATTACACAACTTGGCTGATATGATAATATTATATTGTATTATATTAATATTGTTATGTAGTGTGCAGTGCCCGTGTCGTCGAATATATTAATATTGTCGTCGAGGCAGAGAATAAAAAACGCCACCGCCGTGGTCGTTTCGCGGTGGTCAGCGACGCGCCCGCGTACGTACGATCCGAGTGTGTAATATTATAATATTATTATAGTTATGTCGACGTGCCAAAAATAAAAACTAACTCCCCTTTCCGATTGCCAAACGCAATCGTGGTATCCCAGTTTTACCTATAATCGGAGCGCGGCGTGGTGTATACAGCACACACACGATTACGAGACGACGCGCGTCACCGCGACGATTACGGACGCAGCGAAAATCTCAGTAGCGCGCGCACGCACACGCAGGTGCGACGACGACCGTTGCGATTTCTAGAAATAGTTTTTAAGAACATTTTAGGGAGAAAAAACGGTCGTGACTAATGCAGCGGTGCATTGTATGGCAGAGGTGACGGCTATCGTTTGTTGAAAATAGTACCGCGACGACGATAATTAATCATCTTACTTCATAATAATAATAATCGATACTAATAATAATCGGCAAGAAAAAAATAAAATATAATATTTAAGTGCACTACTATATTCGAGACATCGGTTGGCAACGCCGAGAGAATGTACATACACACGGACGCACGCACGCACACGATATGCGTGTGGTGTAAGTAATAAGTATGTTATTATTACGATTTTACATAATCAATATGGGCACAGGCCAGTGTATAAACTACAAACACACACACTTCGGTAGCCGGCATAGCTCACACACGCGCGGGCGCTCGCCACAAAACAACACACAAGTCATATGTACAAATAAAAATCAATCCAACTTCTTCTTCGGTGCCAGAACTCATCAAATTAAGATAAATAATAATATTATATACATTGCTAGCGGTTAACACGTGTTGTGTTCGTTCGGTGCCCGTCAAAACATTTGAGACGGCCAAGGCGAAAAGCTTTTTCGCACATTTGTCGTCATCCACCTCGGTTATGGATAAAACGGTCGACTAGAAAATGTTTCACCTACGACGAACGATAGCAAAAACAGTTGCGTTGCGTTACGTCTTACGCGTAATCTCGCCGCCGCATGCTAACGTTCGTAATAGTAATATGTTTACCGTAAAAACACATTAATACATTTTTTTTCCGAAAGATTATCAGTTAATGCCTAGATTCTCGTTTATAAAGGTCAACAAATATATTACCGTTGGGAGGCGATTAGTACGCACCACATATAATATACCTTGTTTACTTTAGATACTGCAGCGATCGCTCGGTTTCCGTATTTATTTTTCGAACTCCCAGACGAGAACATCACTCGAGAGGGATTTCGAAATGCAGCACAGGTCCGTCCCGTGTTGTCATGTTATAAACGGTTTTACAAAGCGGATAATAATCCACTCTATCTATTATTTACACGAGTGAACGATAAGAGGGGAAAAATAAGATATACAAAACTACGATAGTAATATTAATTCGTTATCTGGTCGCCGTCGACACTCAATGCGATAATTAATAAGACCAGCACTAGACACCCGCCCCCGGCCATCACCCACCCATCAACATTGCAGGTCGATCCAAGTCACGACGCAGCTCTAAACCGCCGTGACGGGACGAAGAGGGATGGGTGGCAAGAGCTTAACGAACCGTCGTAAATCGCATTACTTGTAATCAAAACGTGCGGTTGCGCAACATCAGCGGCAGTGGCCACGTCTAATTTTCGCGTGTGCAATTCGCTACCACCGACCGACGATTGAGCCGCCCACAGAACTATTGTGTGGCGTTTTTGATATTGGAAAAACACGCGAGCTGCCGCAAGGGGATGATGAAAGCCATGACATTTTGATTTTATAGATTTAAAAATAATATATTTCGATAATTAGCCACACACACGCGTGCGCACGAAACCCGAATTAAAAAAACCAATTATTTTTGTCACGCCATTTTTTTCCTGTTGCTTACCGGTGTCGAGGTGGACGGCACTGCCGTCGTTCGTTGTTGTTGTCTCGGCCTGTTGGCGCCGGCTGTCGAGGATGCGCGTTGTTTCTGTTGTTGTCTGGGTGACGACGACTGTCTGCCGGCGGCAGACGATTTGGACGCGGCTGCTTGCTGTTTGTGTTTCACCGGCTTGGCCGCGTGTGGTGCCGCCTGCGAGTTGGCGGCGGTGGCCGTATCCGAACTCGTGTCGGCCGAAGACTTGCGTCGGAACGCCTTCAGCCAGCCCAACCGCTTGGAGTGAGTCTCCGCGGCCCTGGAGCCTACCTTTGGAGTGGCCGCTTTATCTTTTTTGCCGTCACCACCACCGCCGGCACCACCAACGGCCCGTTGCTGCTGGTGCTGCTGTTTGTGGCCACCGTCATCAGCCGTCGACCCCGACTTTTCCGCCGCGCCGTCGTTCTTGGGCGTCAGTAGCTGGTGCTTAGCCTCGTGCTCCCTTTCCAGCTTCTTCAGCTGTGACTCGACCATCGTCAGCTCGTTAAGGTTGCTCTCGATCATCGGCAGGCCGGCCGGCAGCCGATCGCTGTCCGTGTCGCTGCTGCCGCTGGATGACGACAACGCCGGTTTCGGGGACCGCTTGGCAGAGGACACCATAACCGACGGTTGGTCGTCAATCTGAACGTGGTGCACCCTAAACCGGCTCTTCTTGACTGGCACCGCGGTCGCGGTAGTTCCCGCCGCAGCCATCGCTGCTGCTGTGGCAGTCGGCTTCTTTGATGCCACCGCGTCGCCGCCGGCCTTCAGCTCTCCTTGGTTCCGGGTCGACCTCTGCAACGTGTGCTTCAGCTTGTCCGGTGCGAACTTGGCCCAAGCTGTCGACTTCCAGACGTCGTCCCACGTGCGCATAGTGAGCTTGAACCTCGATTCCATTATGGACTTTTTACTCCGAAGCCGGATCAGCGGCGTGCCGTCCTTGGTTGTCAATATACCGTGGTCGGGGTTAGCGGGTGGCCGCTGTAAGCCACCCTCTTCGTCGTCATCGTCGTCTTCAGCCAACAACTGGGCGGCGTTTTCGTCAGCACCATCCAGTTGTGATGGTGGTCGCGGCAGCTCATCCTGCTTCTGTTGTTGTTCCTTTTCACGATCGTCGTTACCCTAACCGGAAATACACGTGGTCAATATACACATCGTGTGTTTCGATGCGATCGCGCAATCGCACACGTCAATACATGTGATATTATTTTATAATGGTGCGTATGGCATCACACATTATAGACTCGTTGGAAACAAGTGGTCATACGAGCCGCCGCCGCAACCGACGACGACGACGTAGCTGGCTCGGAAAACAAAAACAATACCATCGACCGTGATATACGCATAATAATATTGTACTATTTATTTCATTGCCCCGATTACACATACATTATGTACATAGAGGTATAGTACTATTGTAATTTGTATTGTACGCGCGTCGAAACGGTTTCAAACGAATAATACAGCAGGTGTCATAATTAGTAGATAATGACGTCCAAGGCCGCAGAGCTTGACTACCGGTATTACGCGGGTATTATAATTTCGTTTAATGCCGAGAGAGACGGTATTTCAATAGCTCAAGTTTTCGAGTGTTTAAAAGATTAGACGAAGATATTGTCACTAGAGATAGCCAGCCACGATCGTATGCCGTGCATGTGCAAAAGAGAACGTGTATGCCGTTAGTATTTTTTTATTATAAGTTTTGCGTGTCACAACAACGTTGGCGGCGACGGTATTTGTGCTTCTCCTTAGTGATCTCGAAATGTGTCTTTATGACGTTGAGCGTCAACTTTGCAATACTATAAATATCGTATTACTGCAAAGCTCAACGGCTTGGAAAATTACGCTTGCACTCGAAGCTCGGAATAATATTAACTGTATTACTTCAACTGTTATACTACTTCACAACTACAGCTACTGACTAAAAAGCAACTACGAGTTCCGTCTCGGTGAGATGGTAGGGGCAAAGGGTCAACACCACGTCGTCGCCGTCTCTACTAATATGACGTTTTATTTTAATTATAGTATTCGTCGTGGTTTAGGTAATTATAGGGCGAAAAAAATAATTTTTGTAATAAGCGGAGGGGGGAAATTGTCTCCCAAACCACAACAATATATTATTATTATATAACTTCCAACGAGTCTATTCGTGTAATGTCGTACGGGTAATACCTCTTCCAGATTTTGATCGAAAATCCGTTCCAAATGCTGTTTGGCCGGCGAGTTGCAGTAGCTGCCACTGTCGATCAGGACGGGTCCACAGGTCTGGGTATGCTGTTGGTCGTGTTCTGCACTGGTCGTCTGGTAGTCGCCACCGCCCTCGGCGTTATGGTGGTCGTCTTCGTCGTCGTCTGACGACCGTTCTTCAGCCAAGTTCTGCACCTCTTTGGACTTAAAGTCTAGGGGTTTAAACAGGTCGCGGACGCTGACCTTGCGCGACGGATCGGCCATGTCCAAGTACGGTCCGACGGTCTGTGTACAATCGTTGGAAAATCTCGTGTTGATGTCGTTCACTAAGCTCGTGGCCTTGGCGGCCACCGCCTCAACGACGGCCAAGTCATCTTCGTCTCCGGAATCCTCCTCGGCCACGGCCAGTAGGTTGTCGCATTCCTTGGACTTGACACCGAGCGGCACGAACAGCTCGTCCAGATTCACCGGGTTACGGCGGTCCAGCACGGGACCGCACGTCTTGCTGTAGTCGTCGTCGTCGTCCATCATCGTCACGCCGCCGTACGACAAGATAACGGGACGCGGGGGTGTGGCGGTTGATAGGTGGTGGTCGGTGGGTATTGGTCGGTGCGAGCGTCCGACGTAGATCTCACACAACTACAAACGTATCTACGGACACACGTCCGCCCGATTTCATAACACCTCGGTTGTTCGTGACGACGTCGGATGTCGTCCCGTCGTAGTAAAAAGCAAAAAATATTTGAAACGAAAAAACGAAACGAGGCAGAGTCAGAGAGAGACACACGCACACAGACAGATACAGAAAGTCTATCTCTTATCGAATTCAAAACAGTCGACGATCGGCCGTCGAAAAGCTAAACGCACGCACGCCGGTGCCCAGTTCGCCACTGATGCCCGTGGCCGGGAACTCACGGCGTCGGCTGATAGGGTCTTAGTGCACGCAAATTGTGTCACGCGAACCAACACACATGCACACACATACGGTAATAACTGCGTCAGAGCGCGAGCGCCGCCCGCGAACGGTTCACACAATAAACGTGACGCGAGATAAACACACACCGACTACAACACACGGCGTGTGTGGAAACGGACTGCTGCTGCTGCCGCCCGCCGCCGACGCCGCCTTCGAGCAGTCGGTCGGTCGGTCGTCGTACGGACTCGCCGCCGCCGCCGCTGATAACGCGCGCGCCACCATAGCAGCACGCCGCCGCCGCGGTGTTACCAAGGCGGCACACCGCGCGCGCGCTTGGTCGCCGAGACGGCAGCGGCGGTGGCGATCCACCCGCCCGCTCGCCAGCCCGCCCATCAGGCCAACAGCTGCAGTGTGGCAAACAACTATTACGATTATAATAATATAATATTATTATTATTATGACTATAATCACAATACCCGACGAAACGAAAACCTTTTTCGATTTTCGACATCGCATACGACGTCATACAATTTTTTATTCGTCGTCGACTTTGTTTTATTGATGTGTAATAATAATATGACAATATAATAATAATATTGTAGTCGTCGTCAACGCCATTGATTATAAATACAATAGTAATATAGTATAATAATAATATAGTATTAAATACTATCTAAATTAAATAATCAATGGCTTTACGAATATTCCGAGTATCACCTAAATAATGGTATGACATTGTGTAATAATAATAATATATTATAATGGTGATCGGGAGCACGCCTGAGCGAGTATTTTTTGATTGTGTGTGTGCATGTGTTTGTGTGTGCGCGCATGTGGATCACTTCGATTTCCCACGGTGATGTAACGACGATAATAACTTGTTCGTCGCTCCGCTCAATATTAATAATATAATATACGGCAACAGTTACACCATGATGATATTAATTATTATATTGTTATACTATTCCATTCCACTGCCGCGTCGGAGACGACATAGTAGGTTTATTATTATTCAATATGTACGCGACGTTAAACAATAATTTAATAATGTTGTGCAAGTACGTTATATAAAGCAGCTTAAAATGTATTTTCGATTTGATATTTTTATTGAACTCATGTGATTATGGATACTCCAGTCACCCTCAATTATTACTTCGACGTGGTTGAGTCGAGTGTGTGTGTGTGTGTGTGTAATGTTTCTTGATAGAACAAGATCGACGCAAGTACACTGTTATATTTTATAATTAATATTTAACTTAGTATAAATGTTCAGAGTAATATACTATTAATTGCTGTAACTTATAAAATACTGTTGTAAACAATAAATAGTATACCAATAAGTTGCACACGAGAGGAAAACGTCTAATTGTTTAAATAACGAAAACGAACGGTTTTGTAATAATTTTCCCTTGTATTATTTTTGCCTGGCCTTTCATCGGGAGTCAAAGGGGACAAGCGTAATATCGCAATTTTTATTTATTGAATAAAATTGCATAAATACATTATATTAGAAGGTCATGCTATAAATTATAGCGCTATAATCTAACATACAGTAATCTGAGTTTAACTTTAAACTATGCAAGTATGTATAGTCTTGTTTTTATGTACCAATGTACCACTATGTGATGTGGATGTAGACAGAAAATACAAGCAAATTAACATGACTTTTAGTTTTGAAGAAAGATATACCTTTTTTATAATAATAATATAATGAAATATTATTATTCACAAATATATAAAACACTATTATTCACTAATGAACCGAAGAAATATTTGACTATTATTTCAAGATCAAATATTTTATGTGTGATCAAAAAATCTATTTTTAATGGTGTCTAAAGGGCTGAATTTACAGTTAATTGTACAAATAAATCTCAATTGCTTCTGTAAGATAACTAAAATTAAATAATTAAAAAAAAACGGTACTTATTAATTGTTGTTAAAAAAAATATAATTTTATTTTGATAAACAAGTACTTGATGCCATTTGATGTAATCGCTTTCATAACTGAATAGCATTAACCTGTAGTAGCATTTTAATTTAAAAAATGTCATTGGTATAAAACCTTAATAATTTAAGTACCTTGTTTAATACTTATGAATTAAGAAACGATACGATTTTACATGAATATATAATTACAGTTATCGAGCAGTAAAGTAGTTTCTACTAAACTTAAGGTAATAATAATAATCTGTTATTTTCATTCAAACGAAACAATTAATATTTGCTCTAAAAGATATATTCATTCTTCTAATAGCAGTAGAATAACTAATAACCTTTTAATACTGATAATAATATATATTGTATAAAACATAACAATCCTCGTGTTGAATAAATAATAACGTCATTTTTGTGGTATATACTATACTATACTATATTACAGACCCTTGGGATACATAGTTCCCATTACTAAATTTACCAAACAGATGCCTAAAAAACACGCAAAAATACCATCAAATTTTTATTTATTGTAATTTTCAAGGTAAAACTTCGTTATATTTATCATTTGTGCGTGACATTTAGCGGATAATTAGAAAATGTTAACATGCAAAGAAAAATAATTTCATCTAATAAAAAATGTTGGAATTAACATGGAATTCCCAGGATAAAAACCCATTAAAAAAGTGTTAATTTTTCAATCCATAAAACATTTATATTGTACAATATTGTTGGATTAAATCTCATAAGAAACCAGATTATAAGCATTTTCCTGATTATGAATAATCTATGAATGATCTATACACAATTAAGATTTAAATCTTTTCAATTCGATAAAAAAAAAAAATGTATTTTGAAAAATACCACTAGTTAACTTTCTTTTGCGTTCATACGCTTATCGTGGGCGAATAGGTGGCAATTGAGTTGCCGAAGGCTCTAATTATTTTACATAATTTCAATAATTTAGGTCATATCAAGTATCACGTGTCTAAAGGAATTAATAAACTGAAATGTGTTGCACGGATTTATACAGTTAAGTCTAACACCTAACGCTGACGTAAAATTGCTTTTATTTTTTGTTGCGGCTGACTCTTGACTCTTCCAACGTTTGTACTCTACAACAAAGGTGGGTATTAAATTATTAACCAGTAAAATATTTTGAACCTCACTAGTTAGTTAATATTCTTATGAAATTGGTAACTTAATTAGTTAAAGAATCAAATGTAACAACTAGGCTTTTTCCAGTTGATTTCAAAAATAATACGTTAAGTTAAAATTGTGTTTATACATATTATCAGTAATTACCAGTTAAAACTAATTAACTAATTATAATTATTAATTACACAGTATACAATGAATTTGAAATATTAATAAACAAACAATTAATATTCCTTGATTTAATAATTTAGTTGACACTAACGTATAATAATTGACTAAGCCACCATAATAGCTACTTCGTATTAAGAAGGATTATTACTATACAATATTATATATAGTAGGTATAGGATGCGTTTTTACTTTTTTCGAAAATATTAGTAATAACTTTTAAAAAAAATTGAAAGTTCACTATGGGGTGTAACTCATATCATGGTAATTAAAATAATTGAATTAACCTCTTTTAAACCTATTTTAAGTTAATAATTTTCTCCATATCTATTCCCTTTAAATTTAAAGAGGTATTATTTGTTAACTATTAACTGATTACTTAACGTTTTTTACATTGGCTTAACTTAACAAACTCAAGTTTTTTTTTTTTTAATAATTTGCCCACCTTGACTTATCAATAGAATACGCACTCAGTTCAGGAGGTCGACGACGATTCCGAAAACTTCTAATCGGCTTTACATAAATTAATGATTTGATAACTTTTATAACTGTGTTTTTTAGCATACATATTACTTCTATTAAAACCACAAATACATTTAAGTGAATTCCAATTACGATTAATTATGTTTTGGCGACGGCTATAAACTGTTGGATTTAGTATCTACGTATGTTTTAGATTTCATTAGCCAACCCCCAATTATTGTATTTAAAAAGTAAAGAATATAAAAAAAAGTAATTGCATACATTAACTATACACCATATTATAGTATATAATATTATTATTATATAGGTATAGGTACCTATATAGTTCATAATTAATTAAATATAGCTTTAAATATTATTAATTTACTTAATTTTAGGAATTTTTGGATATAATAAGTAATATGTGTAACGCCTAAATGTTATAGTGAAATCCAAAAATTAAAAACAATAACAAATTTAATTGACACCATAAATTAAAAACTAGCCGATCATCAGAATACGACAAATGCCACGATGTAAACTAGTCGCATGATGTCCTTGTCGACTGATAAAAGATAAATCAACTCGACAACTATTTGAAGTAGTAGGTATGTAGAATAAATAATAATTTCCAAATACGATATAGCGACGGATAATGATTTTTCTTCTAATCAAGCTCTGTCGCAATTTGAAACACCTGCAAGAACTGAACACAAATGTAAATTTTAACAATTTCTTAAAAATAAGGGTTATTTAAGGCGGCTTTACAATAACACCTCTACAATTACACCACCAAAGTAACACTATTTATGTGGGAAAGTAGGTCCGGATATATATGCCAATGTACATATTTTATATGAAGGTGGATTGATAAGTAATGGGTCTTAA